GTAAGAGTTATTGTATTTGGCGTCATCCATTGAATCAAATGGGTTTTTGATCATCAGAAAAGAAAAAGCTAATTTGTGAAGCGAGCTACTTATCAGAAACATTAGTAACTACTGTAGAAGGATTGTAAACTTTCTCTTCATTAAAGAGGTAAACTGGCAAATCAGTGTCACCGACAAGAAAAATGTTTTACCTCTTCAGGTTGCTATGTGCTATTTGAGTATTCTTCGGACAAATATATCTTTGTAGGTTAATACGAATATTATTCTATGATAATGACAAATCAGTCAGAACGGTTATCACATCTTTTAGATAATGGCGCATATGTTGTTCAACTGGATTTTACGGAAGCTCGCCTATCGTTAAAAGTTGATCCTTCCGGTCAATTATTAAAAGAGTTTATTACGATAAATAATCGGGTATTAGACCGTTTTAGTTCAGAAGAACAGAAAAAAATTGGGGTACACGTGTGCCCTGGTGGTGATTGTGATTCATATCATTCATATGAAATTGACTATACTCTCATGTTACCTGATGTATTTCAATTACATTTAACAAATTTTTATCTACAATTATCATCTGAAAAAGATCATGTTAAAATTCTGAAATGTATTCAACAACATATTAAGCCAAATCATCGAATATTTTTGGGTGTAATAGATCCCATAAACCCAGAAATCGAAACTGCTCAAATTGTCCGTGATCGAGTTTTAGAAGCTGCTCAATATATACCGTTGGAACAACTGGGTACGACAGATGATTGTGGTTACGCACCTTTTGCTGATGATCGATCGACGCCAAGAGATATGTGTTATGAGAAAATAAAAGCAAGAATTCAAGGTACAAAATTAGCTGAGCAAATATTAAACTTTTCAGAAAATTAAATGTTGACAGAAACCTGTTTCGATTTCTAATGCATACTGTACTCCCTTCTGTTGTTTTGTAAAGCCGTTGTGATCTATCAAATGTTGCTTGCACATTCCATTTAGATTAAAACATGTACAGCATTGCAAAAGGTATTTGATTGAAACAAAACCTAAGTTAGCTACTGTTATGAAAGAAACAACTTAAAGTTTCAGGTATTTTTTTATTCGAGCGTTACACTATCTTTAATATCGACATTTAGTTCTATGTTGTCCTTCAATGTTGTCGGTGTTCGAATCTTTCTATGTTTTCAATGTTACACGGATTATAAAGAAATCATACTTTCATTTTGTTTTATTTAAATGTTAAAGATGAACTTGGGAAGTGCAGTGGGAAATGCTTTACTTGTTTCTTAGTCCGTAAACTGGAAGCTAGGGTTACAGAAGAAAAATGAACTAGTGATCATGGACAGAAGGAAAAAACCAGATGTAGAGAAAAGGTAAGATACAAGGCTACGCAACCTAGAGGATATAGATAATTGCATATGACCAATCAGAATTTGCTATAGAGAGTTATAATCTACTTGAAAATGTCGTAATCGATGAATAGCGCCGCAGTTGACGT